ACCTTTTTGCCGTATGAGTATACGTTGCCCAGGATGCACCACGTGGAGGTAAGTCTATCGCACACCACGCATATAGGTATATAAAAACTGAGTCACTATTTTCTTCATTTAATTCTTTAAGACTTTTTCAGCTACTGTAGATGCCATACATTTGTGTATAATCGGTTTTTAGAGCCAATATGATCTTTCCAATAAAAATATTTGAACCCCTCACAAAAATTCTATTAAAATTTGATTGTAAATGAAATTAAACTTTAATCAGAGTAGTGTAATTAGGATAACAAATGAAAGTTTCTTTGAAAGACTCTTTGTAAAAGAGCTGAAGTTTCATTGAGTTTCGGATCCCTGAATGAAATAAGTCACTATTTCTCGATGTATTAAATTTTTACTGTTATTGTCAAGTCAGAATTGACAGCTTAAAACATACGAATTGACTTGGTGATATTTCAGTTAGAGAAGAAATCGACTGTGCTCATTAAAGGTACAAAGTTAGCCTCAGCATCGGGCTTCCTATGCTAAATCCGTTCAAAAATCACGTCATTTGCTAAACTTTTTAATGTGTATTGCGAAGCTATTCGCAAGTTTATCCTTCCGAAGAATGTTAGAAAATACTTAAACAAAGTCGTATTCTAAATCTGCTTTCTCATATCCATATGAAAAAATATTTTTTTCAGACATTCATTTATTTATTTATATCAAATGGCAGGCGTTTGGATAGTTATCATTAGCCCCTTAGTTGACTTCAGGCTTCATAGAGGGGAAGGAACATCAAAGAGGAAAAAAGTCGAGAGGGGGGTCGAGATGGGGGGGGGGAACAGAAGAGTGTTTCAAAGATGTAAAAGAGGGAGGGGGAACAGAAGAGTGTTTCAAAGATGTAAAAGAAGGGAACAGAAGAGTGTTTCAAAGATGGTTAAGAGACAGACACAAGTGTAGCAAAAAGGTGAGGTGAGTACTGTGAAAGTAGTCGAATATGACATACAGTGGGGTCACGATATTTTGAAGAGAGAAGTCAACTGCCAGTTAACAGACTTTTTGCCGTATGAGTATACGTTGCCCAGGGTGCTCCACTTGGAGGTAAGTCTATCGCACACCCCTATTTTTTTCAGACATCGATTTTTAGAAAAAATTCATTTTAATTAGTAACGTTATTTTTTGAGATTGGCAACGTTTCTCACATTTAGCAACTTACAATTATTGTAACACCCTTTTCCATTTAATTTAAATTGATAAGTTACACGTGCATTTTGGCAAAATACAGTCCAATTTTAATAATTAGAGCTTACTTAATTCCATAAACAAATTTGACAGAAAGCGATTTATGATCGTTCGTGACATAAAATGTTAGTTTTTATGCTTTTAGTGGTGAGGTTACGTCAACATCGAAGGCTGCAAAATCGAAAAGGAAAAAAAATTATATTGATCGAATAAGCTTTGAAATTTTGTTTCCGAACTTATTAATTTAAGTTGAGTACGATGTAATAAGTCCTCTCGGTTGCTGAGACCTTGAAATTCGATTTACCTGCTTTCCAGGCGAATCTGAAGGTAAATTCAATGTTCAGCTTAGAAATGCAGGCGATGTTTTAATAGCAATTTGAATGAATGTTCACAATTGTAGCTTACTTCGCTATTTTCTAATGCTTTAAATGTTAAAGTACAATTTTGTGTTTTTTTCAGTTTATTATCCATTACAGATACTTTTCAAATAGCAGGCCTGTGGGACACGTTATCGCTGTGTGCGTCATCGTATGCCTGCATGTCTGCTCGCCAGGATTGGGAGGTGCGTCCGTACAACTCTGCGTGCAGCGACCGTACAAACAATGACCAATCGTCAACCTCTGTTTAACCTAATCCCCCATCCTGATCATGAGTAGCTCCATGCGTGTACACTTTATTCGCAATATCCGAACTGAATAAACGTGCTCCGTGCTACACGTCTGTTTCCTTTACAGCTGGGCTATAGCTTAGCTGGTTCTGGGAGTCTAGCTAGATGTAGGAGAGTCTGCCATAGAGATTTCTGAGTCAGTCAGGCTTTACTAAGGTAGCAATCCGCTACAGGCCTAATATCAGCTAATAAAATTTGAATTAGCGGACATTGCTGTTGAATAATAATACCCTGACAAGGTTTATTTATTTATTTCAAATGGAAGGCGTTTTGATAGTTATCATTAGCCCTTTAGTTAACTTCGGGCTTCACAGAAAGGAAGATGAACATCCAAGTGGTAAAAAGTCGAGAGGGGGACAGAATAATGATTCGCAGACGTAAAAGAGATAGACAGACACAAAGGTAGAAAAAAGGTGAGGTGAATACTGTGGAATTATTCGAATATGAAAAGCAATGGGGTCATGGTAGTTTGAAATCAGAAGTCAACTGCCAGTTAATAGATATTTGGCTGTATGAGTATACGGATAAATTTTATATACTTTCACTAATTAGGTATTAGGTAATCGCTCTACAGCCGAAAATCACCTTACAAATTGTTCATCTTCGTCTCACGAATAAGAATTTGTTTTGGAGTTATTTTTCTGCTAAATACATCAGAAGATCAAATACCATTGATGAAAACTTTACTTCAATTTCAAGTTAATGGCACCAAAAGAATGAAAGTAAATCACAAATACCACATACTTGTTCTGATGTGACTGAAATCACCTTGGTTTACTGTCGTTTCCCACCGTCACGTCGCCAACAATGTCCAAACGCCATCTCCATTTACTAATTAGCTGTTGCATAAATCAAGATCTTAAAAGTGCTATGAATACTCATTAAAGCCTTATCTTCCTATGGCTGATGAAGATTCTTTAATCTTTCCTTCTTTACTGATATATCTGGCCAGACAAAAGTTGATAATCCCTGGAGTTTTAATCAACTTCCAAATTTTATTATCTATATTCTAGTATCTGGGTGTTCGTTCATATGTTTTCTGGCTAACTTTTAAGGTTTCAATGGCCTTTAGAGTAAGATCTCCCGAAGTTTCCATTCCAAATTGTTCTTGGTGTCCTATTTTACTCAAAATATTGGAGTAAGGGCAAGTAAAATAGGCAACAAGGCGATAAAAATGAAAGAACCTCCATCATAAACTTAAGGTAAGTTTACCAACTCCCAACACCAGTCAAATTTCTAATTTGTGTGCCGTCCAAATTTTTTTGCGTGTTGATATATTAAGCATATATCATTTTTCAGTTATTGAGTGAAAGTGTTCAGTCTCGGTTTGGAAGACGTAGGATAGAGATATGTCCTTGCAATTAGTCCGAGCAAACAACGCATTGACAACCATTAAGAAAAGAGGAATTCCCTATCCGATAATAAATTAAATTTTGCCGATTCAGTTTACCTAAACGACAATGATCTCGCTGTTAGATTTTACCCCCCACTCCTACTCATTAAACAAATCCTACTATCAGCAAAGTGTAGTGGACAAACCTTTATAGAGAGGTGACTAATTTAATCTTGCAGAGCATGCTTATACAAACTCTCTCCTAATTTCGACAACATTTGACGTTTTGTTATATTTAAACTAATGCCAATAATACCTTGGAATTAATAATTCTAACCAAATGCTATTGTAATCATTTTATGGGACATCAGTAATCAGTATTCCCATTCATTCCTTTATACTACCTTAGCCAATTTTTTGAACCGCAAACTACTAATGCCAAAGAGTATTGTCCATCTTAGGGCGAAAATCTAATATCGATTTGACAAGTGTCAATTTAGCCTATGCATTTTTATCAGATGGCCTAGCTTGGGTTAAATTGGTACTAATTACGCTAATTTGAGCCAGAAAAGACCGCAATTTGCCAAGATAAGCTTAATCCTCACTTATTATGCGGTATAATTAACACCCCTTTTGTAGGCAACAGCCTTTCCTTTTTTTCTCTTCAATTATTGACAAGAATCATTCATACCGGCCTCTAAATTATCAGGCATTTGCATATTGTTTAGGAATTTTACTTACTAATTTACTTAATATTGGTTCAATCGAATGAGGCTAAATATTAACAAGTTGTCAATTAGAAAACCACTATTGATTTGCTCAGATGATCATTAAATGAGTCTGAGTGAACCGATATTTAAACATTGATATTTGAGGCGCATTCTAATCATTCATTCAAGGCAGGCCGAGCCTTTCTTGCAACTTCAGTTATGAGAAAAAAGGTATGGGATTAGAACTAATACGATGAATAGACTAAAAAACCTTCAAATAAAAATATGCTCCACACTATTTAAGATCAAAAGCAAATCTTGCATTAAAAAAGATGTGAACAGCTTGTAGCAGATGAACTGCGATTTGAAAAAGGATGATCACAAATTCTTATGAAAGTATTTCAACCAGTGTCAGTGTTGATATTTTTGCGCTCAATTATACAAGATTTTACCTAATTTATTATTTCTGAAAACATGCTTGTTGCTCACGAATATAAGAACCTAATTTAGGCAAACTGATTAGCATGCAAAAGCGATTACCTTGGCCATTCCGTTCGAGACAGTCATTGCATATTTCTATATTTTAATATTTAAAAAAATCGTACGCAAACGAAAGACAACCGCTAGATAATCATCATAAATATCTTTAAAATAATCTAGAATGATTGCCAGGGCGTCTCTTTAGGACTTTCTAAACCTCCAAGCTGTAGTTCAAGTGGTCTAATGCATTAAAATTAATAGAAATCAGAGGATACTACTTGGTTCAAGCGTAATATTTGAGTCTACATAACAAGTTCCTAATACAATAGAACTTCAATCATTACCACGATTACTCAACGGCAGGAAAATTAAAATGAACTCGAGGCAAGACCTACCATGTCATCAAACAAGCCAGTGAGAAACAGTCTACTCTCTACTTATTGATTTCAGTAGCAATAGAATTACGATTCAAGCTTTTACAAAATCTGCTCATGTGATGAAAGGGGACAAGAAATAGCAAAGCAGTACATTAGTAAAGGGGGTATGGATTTAGAAATTGCAAACAATCTCCTATACATTATACAAAACAAAGTGACTAGACATTGTTATGGTTTTTATCGGAGATGTTATTGTCTAGGGGTTCTCTTGTCACCAACTTCAGCTGCTCCTTTTGGTCATTCTGTTCATCTACCGATTTATTGAGGTTAAACTCTGTTCCGGCTTCGGCAACATGTGAGCTCAACGGTACTGGATCTGAAAGAGGTTGGTTAATATCCACTGCCCTGAAAATAGCCAAGGCCTAAAAAAACAAAGAATGAAATATTAATCCCAATGCAACAAAACGAAGCATGGAATAAATGGATGGACTAGGTAGATGGATTTGACGACAAAACAATTAAACGAATCCTTTTGATAGACTAAAATACTGTAGCAAAAGAATGCTTAGGTCGAAGCTGGCAATCTGCGAATATTTAACTCAAAATGTATTTTTGTAGAGAGCTACTAACCTTAATATGCTATGGAAACACATCAATTCTCAAAACTACATGGATATGCATACGCCAATCCAGCATGTGGAAGTCATTCTGTATTCTGTAAGGCAAACTAACTTCGAAGACCCCTTCCACAAGCACATTTAGATCCAGATAATTTAAAGTCCTAATGACTTGTGATAACGATACGAACCGAAGAGATGTGATTAAAATATGAATCCCCAAACCCACAAAGTACTCACTCTAAAATATCGAAACAAATATGAAATTATTGTGTTTATTTGTTTAATATATAGCAACCATATATAAATTAACCAGTAATTATTATGATATAACTGTTACTAGTATTGCTGCTATTTCGAAATAGTATTAGAACCATATTTACTCTGACATCATGGGATTAGCAAAAAATTTCGATTCCTCATGCCCTGAAAGAACAATTTGCAGACAGAATATGATTAAATCAGCGAGGAGTTTGGAAAGAATTTCATTAAGATTTCCACTATTTCTCCGTAGGGATTGTTTAAGTTAATCAGTTTAACATCCTGTCTGCTTGTTAACAGTTAATGTATGGGTGGGAAATTACATAAGCAGAAAGAGAGAGAAGGATAGACATGCTAATGAACCAAACTCACCTTAGCAACCATTGAGGAGACATCCCCAGTATCTGAGGATAAGAGCATGGTGTTATTGGTCTTGGCCAAATTACTGAAAGCATCAATATAACGCTCCGCAATTGCCATTTGAACCGCATCCACTCCATTCTGCAATCAAATGCAAAATGGGTTATTACAATCTCTTCAGCCAAATGGCAAAACAAGTAAATCCAAACTGTGAAGATATCATTCGATCATAGTGGTGTTTGAGCAAATAAGCTATTCAGTGTGCTACTTTTTAGACGATCTGGCTAGGCTCAAAGATATGATTAAAAAAAGATGAGATAAAATTTAGTTCGCATACACTGCATAAGAGAGAGAAGAATTTGCCAAAACTTAGCCTAGACTTTTTTTACTGATAAATTTGGACTCTATCAATACTCTAATAAAAAGCACTAACCAGAGCACTGGGTAAGCAATAATAAGAATCAGATCCTTGCCTTCCGAATGAACATACAAGAACGTTGACCACATCACCAGCACTTTGATACCCAAAATCAATAAGAGCAAACCCTTATTGATGATAAGACAGTCTATCACACATAGTACACTTCCGGCATTGCAGATTACTTGCAGAGAAGCACAAACCACTTTACCTTTCCGGCAATCGCTTTAGCCAATTCTTTGATAGCTTCTGCACGAGACATGGCCAATTTCATTATTGCCTTCGCCTCACCTTAAAGGTAGAAAATTTGGTTTGTTAGTGGTCATAAGGAGTGTATATAGATGGCCCCAATATCCTTACCTTCAGCCTTGTTGAGAGTCTCAATCAGCTGACCTTCAGACGAAAGAATCTGGCTTTGTTTGATACCCTCGGCACGATTGATCTCAGCATCCCTCAGACCCTCTGACTCCAAAATGGCAGCACGCTTTCGACGTTCCGCCTCCACTTGCATTTGCATTGCATCCTTGATCTTTACTGGTAACTGAATGTCACCTACAATAGGCGTAGTGAAATATTCGTAAAAAAATTAACTTAAATCTAGCACTTTTAAGCCGAAATATCTAATGCTGGTGGATGATTATCAACAGTTTTATCCTAATCATCTAAATTACATAGAAATAACAAACCAAAAGAATGGTAACAATACGGGAGAAAGTCGTTAGGAAAATTTTAAAGTGTAACGAATGCCTCTAAATGTCCTAGAACAATCCGAAATTAGCCCCATGCACTGCTTCTTTAATTGATTTTGGAATCTCGTCAGGTATTTTATAAACTACTTACAGCAGAAAAGAATGAAAATTGCTCAAAGAACGCTCAAGAGTTCCATTTTAAAAGAGCGTACGAAGCAGAAACTTTGATTCAATGAAGTTAACTAGCATATTCATTACGAAAAAACAATTTAGAAGGTATACAGGAACTCATATTTGATAGAGAGGGGGACTCTTTCGGTTAAATTTATAGTATGCCAGATCTGACACCTGTGGATAAACAACAAAAGCAACTATCTGATAACAAGGGAGGAAAGAATAGTTTTTAACTCTGCTCATTTGCAACACAAGAGGAAATTAGTGAATGAATTGCTTCATTTATAATGACAATTGGACTAAATTACATTCTAATAATTTTGGGACAATGATAGTTCGTGAATTTGGTTTAGTTGACATTGGGAAGTAATAAAATGGAAAAAAAGACTATTTATAATTAAGTAATAAAACAAATCGAAATCCCAAGAACAATAATAAAGCTCAAAGTAAAAATGTAAATCCTGTATTCCAAAACCCGAAGGGTACGCCATTTTGGGAGTGCTCAGGATGGTTACAGAGGCAATGAAAAAGTGGTTTTCAATTCTGCAATGTTAACGTTCGTGGATAATAAAAATGGACTTGGATATAAGCACATGGCTCTGTTATAAGATCTAAGAGCACTTTTCTAATGATTGGCCAATAAATATGGTATCTCTATTGGAAATAAATAAATCATGATTTGATTCTTCTCTAGACCAAGTATTACGCTATTCTTCGACATTGGCTATAATACTAATTACGCAACGAAAAAGATAAAACCAAGTACAGTTTCTAAACCGAGTAACCAATAACGAAAAATTACTTACGAATTTCATATCGAAGACATTCAATACCCCATGGCTCAGCCGCTTTGCAAATGGCACGAACAATACTATAATTTAGAGCCTCTCTTTCTTTGAAGACATTATCTAGGGAGATTTTACCGATTTCCGATCTCATAGTTGTCTGGGCCAGTTGTGTGATAGCAAACTCCGCATCTTCAACACCATAAGATGCTTTATACGCATCCACCACTTTTAGAAAGAGGACTCCATTCAGTTGTAAAACAACGTTATCTAAGAAAATGAATATTTTCAAAAAACAGCAAACCAGATGTGATAGCCGCTTGATCCGGGATATCAATAGCGATTTCTTTAAGAGATTGAACATAAGCAATTCTATCCACAAACGGAATGCAAAAGTTAAGGCCCTAAGTAATAAGAATATTGAAGAAGTGTCTTACAGGCTTGAGAACAGAGTGAAATTTGCCAAGACGTTCAATGACCCAGGCTTGTCGTTCTGGAACAAAATTTATACCCAAATTCCTAGGCGTTTTGTAAAAACGAACAGATCTGGCAAGCTAAATTACAAACCAAATCAAGCTTAACGACTATGAGAGAAATAACAACAAATCAAAATCAAGAATACAAGTCATTTAGAAAATGAAAAGAAGATAAAATTAATCTAAGACATATTTCACAAGGACAACCTTAAATAAATTGTCAGGGTGGCGCAAAAGAAAACGAGAAACAATCATGTTTGAGAACTCAAATTAAGTTCCGGGTCAAAACGATATTCAGTTAAGCCAATAATTGACCCTGAGCATGGATCAATAATATTGATAACTATTTTAATCATACCACAATAAAGAAAATTGTATATTTTATATTGTTAATTTTAAGTCTTAACAGTCAAAATAATTTTACTGCAAAAAATATCTAATCAAACGATTCAATAAGAGATTGATAGGATGATAGCATCACTTAGACAAGATAAAATTTTCGTGACCATTTTACCGATCCATTAAGAATTGATCAAATTTGAAGTGTAATTATGGCTGAAACATAAATTTACAATGAAGGAACATTCGGTACGAGTAGTAGGAACGTGTCTGAATCAACAGTACAAATTTAAAAGCTCAAGAAAAGTTAGCATATTAAACGGTTGTTTGAACTATCAACAAAAATCCAAAAGCTGGTATTTATGAATATCTCACAATAATAATCGTCTGTCCGATAATACCGTTTCTCAAAACATGAAGCAATAAATATTCAATGATAGGTGACTATTCAATTAAATAAATAGTCTTCATGGTTGAAAAAAAACTTTTCGATAACTTCCAATATTAATTTTTTACAAAACTGATGTCTAACGAAGCAATTACGAAAAATGGAAATTATGTTTACTTGACCCTAATAACCATTTATATTCAAATATTATCTTAGCCTAAATAAATGAAAGAAGCAAACAACATGTAGTGAGGTAATATTTAAATTTCGTAGTTTGTACTTTAATTAAGATTTTAGGATGGGTTCTAAATTTAAAGCTAAAAATCAGCAGGTGAATCGTGTTGAATAAATGCGGCTAATGCTCATTATATGAAATTGTGCTAAACTTAAAACCAAATTTGCCCCAAACATCTTTGGTGAATATAGATATGATCATGAGAATAAAAAGGATTTATTAAACGTCAAAGCTGCTTTGCCAAAAAGGCAGTAATTAAACTAACAAGCATATATTATTTAAAATATACTTAGAGAGAAAAACAAAATCGATTTATGTTTCATAGGTTCAAAATTTAGTCATGGCAATAGATAAAGTATTTATAAAAATTTCAATATTATTATTTTCAATTTTTCCAATGGTGCAATAATTTTGATTAAATGCATTTCGACCAATCATATTACCGCTGTGCATTTGTCTGGTAAGTCGTTCCATCATGTGTTGTGTCACGTTTTTTAATAAATAAGTCGGATACACTTTATTTTCAATCTTTCAATTTAATAATTTATTTGAGTAACTTTAGGCTCCTTAACTTTAGCAAGTGATTGGTTTAAATTTGATTCCTTTTAGATCGCTATGGCTATTGAACCTACTTTTCTCTCTAAAGCTGTGTCTGAGTGCATCAGTGGAGATTCTAAGAATGTTAACTACATCATTAACAAGTTGATGGGTGCAGATGAGTCTTCAGTAGAAATCGAACCAATAATCAGTGAATTTCTCCGTATTGTATCCGAAATTCCCCTAAGTATTGGGGAGCTCCTTGTTCAGCTCTTCACAATCTCGAAACCGTGGTACATTTTTCCTGCTGAAATTTCACAAAAAGCCATTGATTTAATTGTTGCTCTTTCTACACAATTTGAAGAACTTGCAGAATCATTTTTGAACCATATTTGTGGTGTGATTTGTAAGCCTTCTTTGTGTTCTAATGAAGCTGATCATATCACAGAGGATGGTCTTATCGTCATGACTTTGAATTCTCTCCGTAGTTTTTTCGCCTCCATGCCACACTTTGAGGATTCGTTTGTAAATTACCTACTTCGATCATTTCCCTCATGGGGTCGACAAACAAATTTGCTCTTTTGGGATATGTCGAGTGTCTTTCGCTTGTGCTACGAATCTCCCAGGATACTCTCCATCGCTTCAATTGAGAAAATTTACTTCACTTCCTTTGATCTTTTAGTTAAGCTCGAAACTAAAGAAAATGTCCATAAGGTTTGTGTGGACACAATCCCAACGGACCTGGCGAACCCTTTCAATCCGGAGAGTTTTGATGAAGTGTTTGGGGCCATTTCTTCTTCCCTAACGCCGGAATCGAGTAAGCCTTCCGCTCTCTTTTGGCTTTATTGTGTCTCCATTTTAAAGACCTTTCCCAGTTGTAATGGGAAGGCATTATCTATAGACGAACAAAAAATGGAATGGAGGTGTATGTGTGCAGTTTTTCGAAATCTGCGAGACTTATTTGTTCTGAATATTCTGCCGCTTCAGTCGCCTGTTTCGGTAATTCCGCTTCTCGTTACATTTATGTCTTCTCTTCATCCTACTCTCGGCATCAATTTGTTGGAGAATTTGTGGACTTTCGTGATAGATAATCGTCAAAGTGAAGAGGTTCAGATTAGTTGTATGAGGTACTTGGCTGACTACGTGGCACGTTGTCGGTGCCTTAGCGAAAGTGTTGTAATAGAGCAATTGCAAGACTTTGCTTCTTGGTGCGTCCAATATACCTATCACAGGAAAGGCCGACCTGTCTCTCATTCTTTGGAACTGATGAAAAGCATTCATAAACTCTTTTATACCATATTCGAGTCCATTGTATTTATCGTCACATTCCGACAGGCAAAACTAATTGGATCCAGTGTAAATCGAGCCTTATGTACTCAAATACCCTTGATCCAACTTATTAGTTCACCTTTTAAACCACTTGATGCGATAGAGCCGGGTCTGCGAGCCAATTTTTTGGCTCTTTCCTTCGCATACAAGATGAATTGGACAGCAGTAATGCTACCAATTGAGTACTCATCCCAGGTCGGATCTGATCCTAAGCCCTCATTTACTTGTCCTCTAATTGCAGCTTTGCAAAAGATCTCAATTGCAGGGCATCTAGACTTATTTAACGACTTTGTTTTTGCTAGACGTACTCAGAAAAGGGTCATCGAAAATGACAAAGAAGTTGTTTCTTCTAATGAAGAGTCTTTCAAAGTCCCCGAGAAAAGATCTCGTTACTTTAACATCACTGCTCTAGCAGATATAGATTGAATATGATTAAAAATAAAGGAGTCTGTACAGTTGTCTGTGTAAATAAAAATTTGAACATTTCCCTTTTGCCTTTCGTTTTAAAATGTTTTGTCGCTTGGTTCGTCTGAGTTCGTTAAAAGATTATCTTTCTCTCCATGTGGAGCATCTATTGCTAGAATCCATTTTATAGTTGCTGAGTAGATTTTCGATCTATTTCCAATGTTTGATCTTCAGAGACCTGTATTCCAGATGAATTCCGCACTAAAGTGCTTCGGAGTCTCGGTGCCGTATATTGTCACAGTTTATGATCTGTCGATAGTATGTAGACGTATGGTGTTTATCCCCTTTGTATGCATCCAAAATAGCGTTTAGCTTGTGCGTGTATGTGAAAGTTCTGAATTCCGTATCCATTTAACAACTTACCCACTCTCAGTGAAGATTTATTTGGGGCACTTTTTGCACTTAGCGTGCAGCAGATTTTGTTTTTCAGTGCTATTAAGGGCCTTTCTCCCAACATGAGAAGAAACAAAGCGGTTAAATGGGGACACAAAGGTACACTGGATTCAGTACGTGTAAGTGACAAGAAGTCGTATTGGTGTTTCGTCTATTGATTCATTCTTAGCTATTTTCGTTCAAGGGAAGAAACATCCAAACCGTATGGTTACTTTTTTAATACTGTTAGTAATCAATTGATAGTGGTGTGAGGATATGGGGTCTGAATGTTTCTCATGTAGATGAGAGCGAATGGATCATCCTTCACAAAGTGACTTATGGGTTGTGTAGGATGTATCGGCTCATTAGTTTTTCAGCTTAATAGGTAAACAATAACCCGATTTGTAGGAGCACGCTATAGCCAATAGAGTTTGTTTGGGGGTTAAATAGTCTAAATATCTCAAACTTTATTTATTTCAAATGGCAGGCGTTATGATAGGTATCATTAGCCCTATAGTTGACTCCGTGTTTCACAGAAAGGAAGAGGAACACCAAAGTGGCAAAAAGTCGAGAGGGGGGACAGAATAATGATTCACAGACGTAAAAGAGACAGACACAAAGGTAGAAAAAAGGTGAGTACTGTGGAATTAGTCGAATATGAAATGCGGTGGGGTCTTGGTAGTTTGAAGTCAGAAGTCAAATGCCGGTTAATAGACTTTTTTGCCGTATGAGCATACATTGCCCAGGGTGCACCACGTGGAGGTAAGTCTATCGCACACCCTATATCTCAAAATTATGCGAATGAAAATATAAAC